GATACAGAGTCTCAAGCTGTTGCCCTGGGTAGAGTGCTATGGTGTCATAGCTCACAGCAACCTCAAACTCTTGGGCTTAAGTGATTCTCTTGCCTCAGCCTCCAAAGTAGCTGGGACTACAGGCAGCCGGCCACAGTGCCCAGCTATTTTTTTTTTTAATAGTTGTTATTCTTGTTTGGTAGGGCCTGGCTGGATTTAAACCACCAGCCCCAGTGTATGTGGCTGGCGCCCTGGCCACTGAGCTACAGGCGCTGAGCCCATGTTTGTGTTTTAGAGAGGTTACTCTGGCTGTTATGTCAGGAACAGATGGAAGGGGAGCAGAACTGTATGCAAAGAAATTCGTTAGGAAGATAAATTTCTGGGCTAAAAGAGTGCTAGTTGTAGGGATAAAAAGAAGTAAGTGGATTGGAAAAGTATAAGTTGCAGTGTTCAGTAATAAATTGAATCAGTATGGATGGTGAGGGAGCAAAAGAAATTAAGGTTGGCTGCTAGGTTTATGGCATGGGCTTCCTCTATCACAGTGATTATTATCACACTACATTTTAATTGTCATGAGAGAGCAGAGACCACACTTTCCATTGTAATTGATAATGCCTACCATACAGTTCCTGCCTAGTAAATATGGTACTAAGCATTCAATAAATATTTTCTGGCCGGGAGCCATGGCTCATGCCTATAATCCTAGCACTCTGGGAGGCCAAGGTGGGTGGATTGCCTGAGCTCAGGAGTTCAAGACCAACAGATCAGTCTAAGCAAAACAAGACCCATCTCTACTGAAAAAAAAATAATAGAAAAACTAGCTGGGCATTTTGGCAGGTACCTATAGTCCCACCTGCTTGGGAGGCTGAGGCAAAAGGGTCACATAAGCCCAGGAGTTTGAGGTTGCTGTGAGTTATGACGCCATGGCACTCTACCCAAGGTAACAGTGTGAGATTCTGTCAAAAAAAAAAAAGAGAGAGAGAAAAGAAAAGAGGGTGGCACCTGTGGCTCAGTGGGTAGGGCACCAGCCCCATATACTGAGGGGGGTGGGTTCAAACTCAGCCCCGACCAAACTGCAACAAAAAAATAGCCGGGCATTGTGGCGGGCACCTGTGGTCCCAGCTACTCAGAAAGCTGAGGCAGGAGAATCACCTAGGTCCAGGAGTTGGAGGTTGCTGTGAGCTGTGTGACGCCCCGGCACTCTACCAAGGGCGATAAAATGAGACTCTGTCTCTACAGAAAAAAAAAAAAAAAGGAAAGAAAGAAAAGAAAAGAAAGTAAATGAATGAACTAAGGAGGAAGATCACTGAGACAGAAGCCCAGTGCCTGCCACCAAATCCTCAGATCAAGTCAAGGAAAGAAGGCTGGAACTTTGATGTCACTAGGGGGAGAGAGGCCCTTACTCCCTGCCCTACCTCTGTAATCCCAAATAGAAAGCCTCACATCACGCAGTGGAGAAACTGAGCAAAGGGAAGAAGAGGAGTGGGCAGGGAAGGAGGAAGCACAGGTGTAGGTTATAAAGTGCTGGCCATCCAGGAAAGGTCAGCACCCATCTTCTACTATCATAGCGTCTTGTACTACTTGTCCCTGATTCAACTGTAATTAACAAGTTTATTGTGCCATTAGTTGAGGTCTGTCTCTTCTTAAGCTCCAAGGGTCATCCCTCTCTCTCATCTCTGGCTGCTAACCCTGCTCCCTGCACACTGGAGGTGCTCAATCATTCCTTATTAAGAGCACGAATGAATCTCCACACTGATGTAGCCCCCACCAAAGGGTCATGTATAGAGGTGAAATCAAGGCTTCTCAGCCACCCCAAAATGTGTTCTGGATCAAGAGGGTGGTGATCTTTCAACGCCGAGCCCTTCTGTGTTTCTCTTATTTTGTCTTTCTTGCCACTTTGGTCTATTATTTCACTGGCTCTCTCTTTCTGTCTCCGTGTCTGAGTCTGCACAGGAAACATGCAGCTTTAGGTCTGAGGTGACTGGTAACGGAAACATTGATGCTTGTGCAAATTTAATAAAGGGTCACACGCTCTTTTTTTATCTTTGTCGTTACCTCCTGTCTCTTTCCCTGCGTTTCTGTCTCAAATCTGATTCTTTCTCCTCATCTTCTTCCTGTGTCCAGCTCCAGAATTTTTCCACCACCTGGGACCAACTCCTCCTGCCCCTGGAGCATCTGATGGGCCCCACAAGGTACTTAGAGGAAAATTACCAAGCTAGGCCATTTCTCTGATTTCCTGCCTTGCCGGCCATGTAGCCCTGCTGACCACATCCTCTCTCATCTTACTTATATACTTCCTTACAGACACATCACCTAGGAGTTCTCAACCCCCCAAACCTATCTCTGACCCCCACCAGGCCCTCTGCTTTGCCTTCTCCTCTCTCCTAAGTGATCTTGTTCTTACATCCCCCCAACACTGCTGCTCTTAGAACCATGTCTCTCTGCCTGGAGACAGCCAGTCCTGTTTCCTTCTGGGTCTCCAATGCCCATTTTTCCCACAGGTGACAGTGCTGACCACAATGCTATCGGGTCGGTGGTGGCCAAGTACCTGGGGGAGCCTAGGACTGGGGCCTCGAAGCCCTTCTCGGGGATCCCAGCTTTGTGCCCTCTATGCCTTTACTTACACTGGGGCAGATGGACGGCAGATATCTCTGGCTGAAGGGGACAGGTTCTTACTACTTCGAAAGACCAACTCAGACTGGTGGTTGGCAAGGCGCCTGGGAGCACCCTCGACATCTCGACCCATCTTCATCCCAGCTGCCTATGTGACAGAGGAATCTACTCCTTACCAGAACCCAACTACTATCACTCCCAGCCAACCTTTCTGGACTCCTGGTGAGTATGCCTGAAGCCCTCCCCCATCACCTTCCTACCTCCCTGTTTCTTTCTCTGGGAATTATTGGGAGATCCACTTCCCCTATGCTTCTGCTGACCCTCTTATTTTCGTCTTATCAGCCTATCCCTCATCTTCACTATGTGTCCTGACTCCCTTGCCTCTCCTCCTAGTCTCAAGCTTTCTAGGTCTCATGTCATTTTCCAGAACTTCCCTCTGCTTCCCTTGTTTTCCCTCTGAGCCTCCAGGATGGAGGACCCAGCCAAGATCATACCTCTGACTACCCTCCCCTCCTCCCATTTCTGTTTCTAGAGCCAAAGTTGTTTCATAGCTCCTTGGAGGAGCTGCACATGTCTCAGGCACTCCCAGACAGAGCCCAGGCTGCATCCGAGCAGCCTCCCCCTCTTCCCCCTAAAATGTGTAGAAGTGTCAGTGTTGCTAATTTGAGGGCCAGCCCTCTGAAGCCCACACACGAAGGACTAAGTGGAAGATCCCTCTCCCAGGAAGACTTGCTGTCCGAGGCCAAAGCCAGCACGGTGAGTCACAGCTCTCTGTAAACACAGCAGAAACTTGGTGCTGGGCTGAATGAGAACTAGACGGACAGCATCCCAGTCCTCAAGGAACACCCCAGGGGTGACACACAGAAAGGAATAAGAAAACCCTCAATACTGATATGCACTACAGTGGAGAGTTGATGTGGGAGAGTGTTGTGAGGTGGTCTGGGGAGTCATCTCTGGGGCTGAATGAGAGACAGAGGCAGCCACAGGCAAACCAGGAGGCTGCAAGTAGCAAAGACCCTAAGGGGACAAGGTTGCTGGCTCAATTAGGAGGAACGGGAGGTCAACCCTATGCTTTTTCTTTCTTTTTTCTGACTCCCAGTAGCAGAGGCAGGGTTTATCCTGTGTTCTGTCTTCCAAGCTAGGCCACCAACAAGTCCCCTCTGGAGATGTAACTCCTTTGCTCTGCCCCTCCCCTCACTCTTTCTTACCAAAGGATGGAAAATGGCCCCTCCTTCCCCATACAGAGGGGTCTTGGACCCTTTCTACCTTCTATTACCCTGCAGGATGTGAGCGTAGTGCACTCCCCTCAACACCGCCCCCAAAGGCCTGTTCCCCTTTCCTGTGGCTCTGGAGGCGGGGGTGGGGTAGGGGTAGGGGTAGGGGAGGAGGGAAGTTGGCAACAGGAAGTGAGGAGAAAAGCAAAACAGACTGCGAGGAAGAAAATTTTTTAAAAAGCAGCCGGGGATTGGGGTTTCTCCCCCAATTCCTGGGTCACCAGGAGCTGGTGGTGAGAAAATGGTGGGGGAGTGAGGAGATGGTAAGGCAGGGAAGGTTGGGAAGGGGCACAGGTAGAACCACCACCTCCTTGTTTCTGCCTTTCCTGACAGACAGGACCCCAGCCCCTAATGTCAGATCCCCCTGTGTACTGTAACCTGGTGGACCTTCGCAGCTGTCCCCGGTCCCCACCCCCGGGCCCTTCATGCCCCTTGCTGCAGAAGCTGGATGCCTGGGAGCAGCACCTGGACCCCAACTCTGGACGCTGCTTCTACATAAACTCGCTAACTGGTTGCAAGTCCTGGAAACCCCCACGCCGCAGTCGTGGGGAGTTGGTAAGACCTTCCCTTTTGCTTGTTCTGTTGTCCCCTCAATTTCCTGCTTCCCCTATGAACCCTAAAGGTAGTGTGGGACTCCCCCAAGATCAGAAGAAATCAGCAAAATGTGAGCAGGGTGTGGAGAATGGGTTGAGGTGGTATTGGATGTAGCTACATCTCCCCGACCCCTAACGCAGAACCCCAGCTCCATGGAGGGGACGCAGACCCTGACAAAGAACAATGGCGTCCTGAAACCTCAGGCTAAGGGCTCAGGATCTGACACAGGGACTCCAGAACTTCTGGGCCCACAGGTGAGATCCCTCCCACCTCCCAGTTACATGCTAAAAAAGCTAACTTATTATGACTTTCTCTTTATCCACCACACCCCTGCCTCTCACCCACATCTCTACCCTTCTTCCTCCCACAGCCAGGGACCCTTAAGTAATGTTAAAGGTTCCTCCACCTGCTTCTCCCTTACCCTTCCAGAGTTCACCCCGCCTCAGCCAGTGCTCCTGGCAGTTTGACCCTTCAGACCAGCGTCCGGCCTTGCAGACTCCTAGACCTCTGCCGGAGCTCCTGGACGACCCCCATGTGAATCTCCCATGTCCTTGCGAATGCCAGGATCCTCCCTGCCCCACCCCCAATTCCGCTCCTCAGAAACATCTTCCTCTTTCTGGGTATCCTCTCCTACCCAGCCCTCTTCCCCCAACTTTAAGGGACCTCACTCCTGGGAGACCCCTTAGGGAAATCTGGGACCACCGTGGAGGGCACAAGGTGACTTACAGACGCTACTCCCTTCACTTCCCAGGAGGTGGAAAAGTCCGGCCTGCTCAATATGACCAAGATTGCCCAAGGGGGGCGCAAGCTCAGGTGAGGAGACCCGGGAATACTGCAGGGCTCTGGGTGGCCTGGAAGAGTCCGCATAGTAGAGCAGGGTGTTGGGAGAGGGCCTTCCCCTGTGAATTCTAGAATGACCTTTTCGCTACCTTCACTGCTCCTCCTCTCCGGTAGGAAGAACTGGGGCCCGTCTTGGGTGGTGTTAGCCGGTAACAGCCTGGTGTTCTACAGAGACCCACCCGCTACTGCGCCCTCTTCGGGCTGGGTGAGTGGGGATGGGGGGGGGGGTTCTTTCCTTTTCAGGCCAGCTGTAGGGGTGGGCAGAGGTGGGGAGAGTAGGGTAGAGAAGGGTAAAGGAGGGAGGAAGCCGCCCACCTCCTCGCAGCCCACTGGGTAAGAGGGGAGCAGTGAGGGAAATATCATGGCCTCAGTTTCTCCCCTAATTGCCAGGGGCCAGCCGGTAGCCGGCCAGAAAGTAGCGTGGACTTGCGCGGGGCGGCCCTGGCCCATGGCCGCCACCTGTCCAGCCGCCGCAATGTGCTGCACGTGAGTGCCCTCCTGCCGGTCCCCCAAACCCCACCCGTCCGGATGTTGTGCCCTGGATCTCCCGCTCGGCCACCCTGCTTTCTGGGCTTCACCCTGCTGACCCAAGCCTTTCCCCCACTGGCCCCTCAGATCCGCACGGTCCCTGGCCACGAATTCCTGCTGCAGTCAGACCACGAGACCGAACTGCGAGCCTGGCACCTTGCTCTGCGGGCAGTCATCGAGCGGCTGGTTAGAGGGGTTGGGGACCCGGAGATGATGGGGCCGGCTGGCCGAGGGAGTGGAGCCGGAACAACTGGAGTCCAAGGGCTGTGGGGAGTGGCGTAGAGACCCGACCTGGGACGAGGCTAGGACGTGGCACCCCAGCAGCCGGTTGGGGTCTCCTTGCGTCCAGCTAGGGGTGCGGATTTCTCTCTCTTCCAACCTTCGACTCGACCTCCCCCCACCCCCGGGTCTAGGATCGGGAGAACCCCCTGGAGCTGCGTCTGTCAGGCTCCGGACCTGCAGAGCTGGGGGAACTGAGCGCAGGCGAGGACGAAGAAGAGGAGTCGGAGCCGGTCCCCAAGCCGCTACTGCGCCTTAGCAGTCGCCGGAGCTCCAGTAAGGGGCTGGCCGTGGAGCCGGGCCCGGAGCAGGCTGCGGGCTCAGCCGCTCTCAGGCTCCGACTCTACCTGCCTCCTACAGGTCGAGGGCCGGAAGGCACCGAGCAGAATCGCGTGCGCAACAAACTAAAGCGGCTTATTGCAAAGAGACCGCCCTTGCGGAGCCTGCAGGAGCGGGGCTTGCTGCGAGGTGAGGTGGGAGGCTTATAACAAACTAAAGCGGCTTATTGCAAAGAGACCGCCCTTGCGGAGCCTGCGCTAGCTGAGGCCGTGCTCCTCTGTGCCAGCTTTAGTGTTTTTTTAAAAAGTCTTTTTATTTATTTATTTTATTTTTTTGAGACAGAGTTTCACTTATTAACCCTCGGTAGAGTGCTGTGGCGTCGCAGCTCACAGCAACCTTCAATTCCTGGGCTTAGGTAATTCTCTTGCCTCAGCCTCCCGAGTAGCTGGGATTACAGGTGCCCGCTACAACACTGGATCTTTTTTTGTTGCAGTTTGGCCAGGGCAGGGTTTGAACCCACCACCCTCGGTATATGGGACCAGCGCCTTACCCACTGAGCCACAGGCACCACCCTTGCTTTAGTGTTTTTTACAAGCATATTTACATTCCTTATGTGGGCATCAGCCCATTTCATGGATAAGAAAACTGCTGTAAAGCTCAGAGTAGAACTTCCCAGAACTGGAGCGCAGCTTTCCAAGACCACTGCTTTCCCCACTATACCGGATTGTTTGGAGGAGGAGCAGGGAGCCTTGTATCTCTGTTAGATTGTTTGGGGGTTGGGGTATACCTCCTTCCCCGGGCAGCCAGAGCTAAGAAGAGATTCCCTGAGCCACCCTGGCTTCCTGCCTCACTCTGTGCCTCCGCAGACCAGGTATTCGGCTGCCAGCTGGAATCACTCTGCCAACGAGAAGGGGACACGGTGCCCAGCTTTGTGCGGCTCTGCATTGCTGCCGTGGATAAAAGAGGTCATTTTCCCTGAGACCCCAGAATCCTTCTAACAGGCCAAGGCCTGGAATTTCCACCTCCCCTCCACCAGTCTTCCTCTTGCTTTGTTTCTCTCTGCCCTCAGCTGCCTCATCACTCCCTTTACAGCAGTAGTTCTAACTTGCCCCACCTCATCTACTAGGTCTAGATGTGGATGGCATTTACCGAGTGAGTGGGAACTTGGCAGTGGTCCAGAAACTTCGCTTTCTGGTGGACAGAGGTAAGAAGGTCTGTGGGCTAGTGGCAATACTAAGAACTGTATGTCTCAGAACTGCAGGTGGTTATGAGTGAGGGAGCTGGCAGACAGGGTGGCCTTCTGGCTGGAACTGCGTCTTAGCTCCCAATCTTTCCTCATACGTGTTCCAGAGCGGGCAGTCACTTCTGATGGGAGATATGTGTTTCCAGAACAGCCAGGACAAGGTACTGACATGGAAGGCCCCTCAGACCCCTAAGACTTCTCTGCACCTTCTTTGCTCCCCACAAATTCCCCCATGTCCTGCTCCATGTCCCTCACCTTTGCTGTTGTGTCCCACTGTGAACCCTTCTCAAGACATTCCTATGGTCTTCCTTGATTGGCTTTCTCCAGAACTCCTGATCTCCCAGATCTCAGTCTTTCTGGTCCTTCATGAGTCATGAACTCCCTGTACCATCTGCTCCCTCCAGAAGGCCGGTTAGATTTGGACAGTGCTGAGTGGGATGACATTCATGTGGTCACTGGAGCCCTGAAGCTTTTTCTCCGTGAGCTGCCCCAGCCTCTGGTGCCCCCGCTGCTGCTGCCCCATTTTCGTGCTGCCCTTGGTAAGAGTTGGGAGCCTTGAGCAGCATCCTTGGTATGGGGCCCATGAGTAGTAGAAAATAGGATGGAGTTTCCTTTATACTCTCCTGTCCCATTCTAATCACAGAGATGGAAATAACTTTGAAAGCTTGTGCCAACACCAGTTGCTTTTTGTCAATGTTTAAAAGGCTGAGTAGAAAAGAATTTTGAGGGCCGGGTATGGTGGCTCATGCCTGTAATTCTAGCACTCTGGGAGGCCAAGGCAGGTGGATTATCTGAGCTCACAGGTTCGAGACCAGCCTGAGCAAGAGTGAGACCTCATCTCTAAAAATAGCCAGGCATTGTGTTGGGCAGCACCTGTGGCTCAAGGAGTAGGGTGCTGGCCCCAGGAGGTGGTGGATTCAACTCCGCCCTGGCCAAAAACTGCAAAAAAAAAAAAAAAACAGTTATGATTAAAATAGCCAGGCATTGTGGCGGGTGCCTGTAGTCCCAGCTACTGGGGAATCAGAGGCAAAAGAACCACTTGAGCCCAAGAGTTTGAAGTTGCTGTGAGCTATGATGCCATGGCATTCTACCTGGGGTGACAAAGTGAGATTCCGCCTCAAGGAAAAAAAAAAAAGAATTCTGAGGCTGCAGCTGGGCCATGTGAAAAAGAAGGCTGTAGTACATTTTTTTTTTTTTT